TGAAAGACCCCAAATGCCCCCACAGCCAGCCTCCTCTCCCCCAACTGCCCACCCCTGCTGGCCTGTTCACCCCCAACTGCCCTTCCCTCCTGGCCTGATTGCCCCTAACCACCTCTGCCTCGGCCCCACCACTGTGGCTTTGTCCAGAAGGACATCCAGAAGGTCTCCTGGTCTAATTAGCATATTACCCTTTTATTAGCATAGATAGCTATATAACTTTCCAAACAGTTTTTCATCTATTGATGTCTGACCGTCAGTCTTTCTGTATTGATATATACATATTTAAAAATGTAGTTATACTATATACATCATGTAACCTATTTTTTTCTATTGATAATAGATCTTGATTATTTCCCCCAACTTAGCATAGTTTCAGTGTTCCATTGCATGGATGTTCTGAATGCATTAAGTCATATTTTGGGGCACAGGCAATTACCTGAGCAATTGTTTGTATGTCCTGTCTGCTCCTATGTCTTGACCAATTTTCTAAAGTCCTAAGCCCATGAAGAATGTTCTAATCTTGGACCATGTGGGCCATTCTCAGCCCTGATAGGTGGGAATGGAAGGTGGGAGGTCTGATCTGGGGAGGACTGAGTGGTCCAATCTCAGGGTCATAGCAGCACCCCCAGAATTGGGCTGTGAAAGAAACCTTTCTGCTGAAGGACCTGGGGATTTTGGGTGAGAGTTTAGATTCCACATATGGTGTGTGGGGTGTGGATTCATTTGAGTCATGATGGGATCAGTTAAGCACACCTGGTCTCAAGCTTCCTTTTCCTTCCCCAGCTCTGGCTTTTCTGGACTCTGTGCTTCGCCAATGGAGGAACCCTATGGAGCACTAATTAGTTCTTGCAATTACGGAACCATGACTGATGTAAGTTGGTATTTCTCTCTACTTGGAATACAGTGATTTTTAGTTTATGCGAATCTTTTCCTTAATTATACTAAAGCCTTCTACCTAACAGACCCCCATCCCTGAACCCGCTTCTCAGTTCCTCCTATTCCAGTGAAGGATGGCACCAAATTCCCTACGCCCGCCTGAGGTGCCTTTTCCAGTCAGTCATCACACTCATTCAGCATCTCCTGCATGCTCAGCCTTCTGTCAGGAACAGTAAAGAATAGAGTCTTTTGTGGGAAGTACTTGAGCTTCTGTCAAAGAATAGCTCTTTTACTTGTATAAAAGGAAAAACCAATAGTAGATGGATTTTATCTATCAAAGCACAGATGGGATTTACATAAGAGAAGGATGAAAAAGGAGAGAATGAAAGATTGTAGACATTTTGGAAACGACAGTTTTCCCTTTTCTACTAAGATGCTGATTGGCAGGAGCTAGGAAAGAAGCCAGTCAGGATGCTGTTCCCTTGACAGTTGGACGGCCACCAAGAAGGCAGTTTCGGGGACACGTCCTCTGGAAGAGCTTTGGTGTGTCCCTGTGGCATGTCCTCGGCAGGCTGTCTCGGGTGGTGCCCCTTGTTATCACCTCCACCTTCGTGCCCCCAGGCCTGCACCATTTCCCTTGTCAGAATCTCTCATTCCCTTGTCAAGTCTGTGTATGATGAGTTAGTGAGGAGGGTCCCAGTGGACCACACAGGAGCGCTTGGAACTTCTTCACAGACCTGAGTTTTCCAGAAGGTTCAGGTGGGATTTGGGATTTCTTGGCCTCAGCCTAAGTTATGTGCAATCATATGCTTTGCAAGGCTTTCAGGATTAGAGGGGGAGTGAGTGGTTCTTTCCCTGGATTCCCTAATTGATGAACACCAGTATCCAAGTCCATTTTGTCATTGACCAGGATATGCAGGTCTTGGGCAACATCTGTTAGGCACAGTATCCTCCAATTTGGGATTAAGGAAGGTGTTAAGCGATGGGCGGTTAATGATAACAAGATGATACAGCCCCTCAGGTGTGGGTCAGAGGTTGAGTGCCAACCTGTGAACCAGGAGGCCAACATTGGGTTCCTGGTCAGGGCACATGCCCGGGTTGCGGGCTCAGTCCCCAGTAGGGGGCTTGCAGAAAACAGCTGATCAATGATTCTCTGTCATCATTGATGTTTCTATCTCTCCCTCTCTCTTGCTCTATGAAATCCATAAAAATACATTTTAAAAAAATATTTCCCGAAGAAAAGATGATCCAGATTTTTAAGTATGATTCCAAGAATTAAGAAAATCTTTAGACATTTTGTTTAACGTAAATATGTAAACATAATATTTATTAATCTCATATATCCAAATGATGAACTGAATTGTAGCTAATAACCCATTTTATGTATTCATCATAATAAGAGGTATGATTCCAAGAATTAAGAAAATCTTTAGACATTTTTTTAACCTAAATATGTAAACATAATAAAGTTATTAATCTCATATATCCAAATGATGAACAGAATTGTAGCTAATAATCCATTTTATGTATTCATCATAATAAGAAACAATTCTTTTGATGAAATCTAACAGAATGATTTACTTGAGGCTTAATGATAATTTTTAATGGAAATCATATTTCTGAAATAGAGACTTTAGAGTGTGTTTTTTGGGGAAAATTTCATCTCCATATTCCTTAAAGGGAAAAGATGGTATAGCAGTTCACATTTATAAAGAATTTATGAGGAAGGCACATAGCAGGGTATGTGTATGTATACCCATAAGCCTCCCTTTCTCCCCTCCACTATTTTTCTTGAATAGAAGAGAAACTGGGATTTTTAAATATATTATCAGACAGGTCTGGAGGACTGAGTTATCTCACAGTATCCTGGAAGTTTTTTCTGCTCTACCAGGATTCTTCTAGAAACTGGGATTTTTAAATATATTATCAGACAGGTCTGGAGAACTGAGTTATCTCACAGTATCCTGGAAGTTTTTCTGCTCTACCAGGATTCTTCTAGAACATTGGTTCTCAACCTGTGGGTCGCGACCCCTTTGGTGGTCGAACGACCCTTTCACAAGGGTCCCCTAAGACCATCCTGCATATCAGATATTTACATTATGATTCATAACAGTAGCAACATGACAGTTATGAAGTAGCAACGAAAATAATTTTATGGTTGGCTCACAACATGAGGAACTGTATTTAAAGGGCCAGAAGGTTGAGAACCACTGTTCTAGAACATGTAGACATACTGCTTTAGTCACAATTTCCTTACTTTTTCCTACCTGTGTGTATCACAAGCTTCAAGCTTCCTTCATTGTCATATTTTTCTCCTCTTGCAGTTTATCCTTCACAATCTTTTTTTTTCCCTCTTGGAAATATTTTCTTAAGTTATTTAATTTCATAAGTAACGTGTGGGTTTTTGGTTTTAGGGGTTGGTGACTTTCAGTGATGTGGCCATCCACTTCTCCCAGGAAGAGTGGGAGTGCCTGAGCCCTGCTCAGAGGGACTTATACATGGATGTGATGTTGGAGAACTACAGTAACTTGATTTCACTGGGTAAGGTCATCCGCCTGAAATAATCCAGAATCTCCTCTCTGCAACATCAGCTTTCTTCACTGGGAATCACAGGGCTGTCTTTGAAGAAACCAGATAAATTTCTTTTACTGTTCTCAAAGGAATGGTCTGATATTTGTTGGGTTAGAAATGGGTTCATTGAGCACCTTGATCTTCCCACCCCTCAGTGAGCTTCACCCCTTCCTCCGACCCTTCCTGCCATGAATGGCCTCTCTTTAATGACCAAGGAGCTGGATTTGTGTGATGGGGCATTTATTTCATAACCATTGTCAGAAAAACCAGGTTTCATACTGTGTTTAACTTCAACATTTCTGTAAATGAGCTGTGTCCTTGCTACTGCAAGTGTGGTTCTTTTGTTTGAGGAACCATAAGAAGGCCAGAGCAAAGTAGTGAAGGAGAGAGTATCAGTAATTAGTGAGGAAGACAGGCAAGGCCCAGATGATACGCAGTTTCGTTAGTTTGGGGGAGAGGGGGCGAGGATGTAGATTGTTTTCTCAGGGATTGGAAGCCATGACTTGGTTTCCATGGGGTTTTAACTTGTTTATTGTTAAGTGTTACACAAGGAAGCAACATAAGCTTCTTCTGGGGCTGGTTAGAAATGCAGCTTGCCAGGTCCTGCCCCAGACCTGCAGGACAGAATCTGCATTTACAAGATCCCTCGGTGATTTTTACGCACCTTAAAGAAGCACTGCTCTTTGTTCTTTCCTGACCCACATGGAGGTCGTACAGCTAGGAACAGGGTCCTGATACACTCTGGCTTTCAAAAGAGCCTCTTCACTTTAGCTAGGGCTGGTTTGAATGAACAATTAATTTCTTTTTTTTTTTTTAATATATTTTATTGATTTTTTACAGAGAGGAAGGGAGAGAGAGAGAGAGTTAGAAACATCGATGAGAGAGAAACATGGATCAGCTGCCTCCTGCACACCTCCTACTGGGGATGTGCCCGAAACCCAGGTACATGCCCTTGACCGGAATCGAACCTGGGACCTTTCAGTCCGCAGGCCGATGCTCTATCCACTGAGCCAAACCGGTTTCAGCAACAATTAATTTCTTACTAAGCAAATGCGTTTCTTTACTTACAACAAAGTTAGAGTAAAAAGTTACAATCTGAGCTAACTCCTAAAAATGTCTCATGAAACTTCTTGTTTTCCTCTCAGCAAAGTAACAACAATAACAATAATATTAACAGTTAACACTGTACTTACTATAAACTAGGCTTTTTTGTAAGTAGAACACATATATTAACTTACTTAACTTTCACAATGTCCCCATGAGGTAGGTACTGTTTTATTTTTAATATGTTTTTATTGATTTTTTAGAGAGAGAGGAAAGGAGAGGGAGAGAGAGAGAGAGAGAAACATCGATGTGAAAGAAACATCAATTGATTGCCTCCTGTACACACCCCAACAGGGATCAAATCCGAAACCTGGGCATGTGCCCTGACCAGGAATCAAACTGATGACCTTTCGGTGCGCGGGACGACACTCAACCAATTGAGCCACACCAGCCAGGGCACAGGTGGGTACTATTTTTATCTGAGGCACATATAGTTTAAGTGACTTTCTAAGGTCACACAGCTGGTGGGAGACAGTGGCAGCAATTGAACATAGGAAGTCTGGCTTCAGGGACTGTATTCTATTTGTTCTAGGGATGGAGCCTGGAGGAATCTCAAACAAGATCATTTTCCTCTCTATGTGATGTCATGGTCTTTATTCCCATCATCCTTCTCTTTTCTGAGGTCTTTATCAACATTATTTTTACCTTTACTTTATTGACAGTTAACCAAATATTTTAGCTTAGAGTAGGCATATGTGAGGACATTATTGGAGCAAGAAGGAGAGTCCTGGATGGTTGTGAGGGGAGGGCCGAGAAGTTTTAACCCAGGAAGGCAAAGACAGGAGGGAACCAACATTGCAGGAAACAACCTCACAGGTCACAGAAGAGGAGAAGCAGGAACATCCGGGGTGATGTTTGGAAAGGTCCCTATAAAGGACCAAGGCCTGTAGAGTGAAGGCCCATCACCGGGGAGCAAATTGAAGTCTTAGTTTGAGCTACCAAAGGAACTTCATCTTGATCTCATTCCCACCCTCCTTGTTTTCTTCTCATATTTCCCTTCGATTTCAGTGAGGAGGGTGTGTTTCCAGTATAACCATTTTGCTTATATGTTGGATTCATCACCTTTCTAGCTCTTTTGTATTTGTGAGTAAATATATGCATTCATTCATAAAGTCTGCAAATTTTTTGTTTGTTTGTTTTGTTAATCCTCACCCAAGGATATTTTTTCCATTGATTTTTAGAGTAGAAGGGAGGAAATATGCATTCATTCATAAAGTCTGCAAATTTTTTGTTTTGTTAATCCTCACCCAAGGATTTTTCCCCATTGATTTTTAGAGTAGAAGGGAGGAAAAAGGGAGGAAAAGAGAGAAACATCGATGTGACAGAGACACATTGATTAGTTGCCTCCTGCATGCTCCTGGACTGGGGCCGGGGATCGAATCTGCAACCCAAATACATGCTCTTGACCAAGAATAGAACCCACAACCCTTTCTTGCACAGGCCATTGCTAACCACTGAGCACACCAGCCAGGGCTGCAAATATTTTGAGTGCCTACTCCTAGCCAGGCATTGCACCATCATGAACAAGATTGATAACTATCCATTCTCATGCAATTTATGTAGTCAGGGAGAAATAAGTAAATAAATAAATACATGCATAAATACAATCTTACAACATGTTTTTTCACGAAAGGTAAACGACACAAGAGAACAGAAAATGATGGGAATTCATAAGGCTAATTCAGATACGGTGGCTAGAGAAAGTTTTCTTGAATAGACACATGAAGCCTGGGATCAAATTATATGACTATATGGGGGGACTATACCAATCACAGTCAACAACAAATGCAAAGGCCCTGTGGTTGGAAAGGAACTTTATTGCAGGACCTGTAAGGCCAGAGCAAAATTAGCAGTGGAGCGTGTACTAAGAAATTAGTAAGGAGATAGGCAAGGGTCAGATAATACAGTTTTGTCATTGTTGTTTTAGGAATTTGAGTTGTTTAGTCTTTCACTCTGAATTAGTTCCTGTGTCTTTCCTTGACTTGAATCCCTTGCTGCTTCTGACGATTACAGGCCAATTGTTTTGTCCAGTGCTCCTCAGCGTGGGTTTGTCTGCTTTTTCCTCACGATTAGATTTATGTTATGCATTTTTGGCAGAAATATCACAGAATTGATGCTGCATTCTCCTTGCATCCTGTCAGGTAGTGCAAATGATTTGTCATTACTGCTGATGCTTCCTTTGAGCAGTTGATTAAGGTTGTATCTGCCGGCTTCCTTCATGTAAAGTTAATCTTTTTTCCTTTAATGAGTATTTTGTGGGAAGGAACTTTGAGACTATTAAATATTGTATTCCCCTTCAAACTTCCTTTTATTTATATATTGGATTTCTAGTCAATGGGTTGTAATATGCTCTTCCCATTATTTATTTTAAAGCTCAAAATATTTGAGCTTGTTGGAGATTTAACCACTGGGAACCCTGTCATGGGGCTTCTGTGTCCTCTGGTATATCTCCATCACTCTAAACACTTCCTTATTTCTGACAAAAACACATTTCAGGCTTATCTTGTATTTTTCCTGTTTCAGCTTTTAATATCAACCACTTTCTACATGGGACAACCAAGAAATTTTAACCCAGGAAGGCAAAGACAGGATGGAACCAACATGTTAGTCCAGAGTGGTATTTAGCAGCCAAAATCTGGGTAGTAGGTTTGCTCATTGCTACTGAGGGATGGCTGCTCCCAGGCCCCCTTGGACAGAACTAGAGAATATACTTATATACCACATATATACGTATACATGCACACACATTTACTTCTTTTTTTTTTTTAATATATTTTATTGATTTCTTACAGAGAGGAAGGGAGAGGGATATAGAGTTAGAAACATTGATGAGAGAGAAACATCAATCAACTGCCTCCTGCACACCCCCTACTGGGGATGTGCCTGCAACCAAGGTACATGCCCTTGATCAGAATTGAACCCGGGCCCTTTCAGTCCGCAGGCCGATGCTCTATCCACTGAGCCAAACTGGTCAGGGCCACATTTATTTCTATATATTGAAAATCTTGAGTTCACACAGGTATCTCCAATTCCAATTCAACACTACAGGTTTCATTTCAACTTACTTTCCGCATTTCTATCTCCCTTCTCTAACAGTGAAAAACCTGGCTTCCTTTATCCTTAATATATTTACTTGCTTGATCAAACTCTCTGTATGTAACCAGCCTTCCATTACCACCACCACCTTAATTCTATTGCCATTCTCATCCCACTTGGGCTATGGCAACCCATGCCAGGTCACACACAGACACTTGTCCTTCTCCTGCTTGCATTCTGACTTTCTACATGGGACAATCCTTTTTGACATTCAGTACCCTACTCTGAGTTTTACTTTATTACATCTTGATCCTTGAGTGTGCATTAAGAAAATATTTTGTGTGATAAAATAGAAAGTATTTGTTAAGCTTCTCTGTTGCATACCAAAGTATGATGGTGGCCTTGAGGAAAACCACTTGTGCAGTTGTTTGAATTGTGAGTTAAACTCGCCATTTTTTATGGAGCACCATTTTTTTTCTTGAAAGACTGACTAACACTATGGTTATCCAGACTTAGGTAGTTGGTAAAATTTTCTTGCAAGTGAGCCTGTCATTTCAAGAACAACTATTTGTTGCCAATAATAGAATTCAAACTTTCAAGTTAAAATTAGAATTGTATGAAACTTATGTCCACCATTTTGAGCTTTACAGCTTTTCAATACGTATTTTTTTCCTAATGAGATAGGTGGTAATATTACCATATGATTGTTTTGATAGTGTATAATGAAATATATCAAATTCTCAAACATCTGCACAACGCAGTGAACCACTATTTTTCGAATGACCAATGTATGATGTTGCAAAATTATGCATGGATAAAAGGTCATTCAAAGTGTAATGGATTTTAATGTAACATACTATGAAAAATTCCTGGGTATAGTTGCATATTCCACATTGTAGTTAACTTTTAAGGAACTACCACTTCTCAAGTTTTACTGTAATATCAAAGAAACACATCCACAATTATCTGAACAGGCTTATAAAATACTAGAGGCCTGGTGCACGAAATTCGTGCATGGGGGGCAGGGGGAAAGGGGTGTCCCTCAGCCCAGCCTGCACCATCTCGCAATCCAGGACCCCTCAGGTAGGGTCCCTAGGCCTGGCCGGCGATCAGGGCCTATTGGAGCTTTCCTTCCCCAGGCTGCCGGCAGCTAGCCCCTCCCCCACCCCTGCCATTGCTTGCCCTCTGCAGGTGACAGGTGTGGGGTGCGATTGCTTGGCTGGCCTGGGCCTCCCTCTGCGGGGCGATCGCAGCTGGCCTGCCCCGCACACCCACCACAGTGTCACTGTCCAGTGGCCTGGGCTTCCTTCTACTGGGCGATCGTGGGGCGATGGCAGGGACCCCTGACCAATTGCATCACACCCGCCGTGGCTGGCCTGGCACCAGTGCTTGTCATAGCATTGTCATCGGAAGGTTGTCCAAACGGCCATTCTGCTGTTCGGTCATTTGGTCGATTTGCATATTATGCTTTTATTATAGATTATTCCATTTTACAACTGCATATCTGTGGAAGATTGGATTCTTCATATACTTCAACCAAAATAGCATTGCCACAGATTAAATGCAGAAGCAGATATGAGAATCCAGTTGTTTTATTTTGGAAAATATAATTATTTTTCATAAAATCTATTAACATTCAATGATTTATTGTAAAAAGACATAACCCATATAAACAAAAGTGCTTTTGGGTTCTCAATGATTTTTTAAAAAACATCCAACAAGAAGTTAAACCTATATTCATTTATAAACTCTGTTAAGCCTTACAAAAAACATTCAAGTACCAAGTAATTATAATGCAAGCCCTTAGCTGGCAATTCAAACTTAATTGAACTATTTGTTGATGCTAAGTTGTACAAAACTGCGTTTCGAGCCCGGAGCTGAGCTGGGACTGGGTGATAACTTTCATTAGTTTCAGTTTATTTCTTGTTTCTAGATTTTAAACATCTTTCTTTGCTCTAAACTTCCCACATGACCACTGATGGCTAACCTCTTTTAGTGTATTAGGATTTGAGCTGGGTGGTTGTATTACAGCTGTAGTTAGTTTTGTTTCACGTCTTGTTTGGAAATCCAGTAGAGCCTTGGAACTTAATAACTGCTCAAACTGCAAGATTTTGTCCGCTTTCTAGCTCAACACCAACCATGCAGAAAAATTCCTGTGAGGGAGAATTATCTAGCTTAATAAAGTTGTTTTTAAATGTGAAGATTTTCTCGAATCCAGTTAATCATGTCAGCCTATCCAGTCATTAAAAGTTCGGCTGGAATCACACCTGCGCACAGAAGGGCTTGACTGATGCTAGGGATTTTAAGGGATCAATCTACACAGAAAGAGGGACTTGTTAAAGTGATTTTTGTCGAATTCTCCAGAAAACTGTCAAATCAGAACATTAAGATTACAGGAGCTGAAAAATCAAATTTGAATTTGATGAGAAGAGACTTGATGCTTAGGAGTTTAGTAAGTCTAATCCAATTCACTTATGGGTATTATTTTCAATTCATCTTTTATTTTTACTAAAGAGGGCATTTTTCTGGTAGAGGAAATAAAATGTGTGGTTTTCCTGTTTTCTTTCAGATTTGGAGTCAACATATGAGATTGAAAATAACTTTTCAGGAAAGAACATTTCTGAAATAAGTTTTTCCCAATGCGCAGTAAAGGAAAGAAGTAAAACCCTTGATCTTGAGGCATCCATTTCCGAAAATAATTGGAAGTGCAAAAGCAAATTTGATGAACTACAGGAACATCAAGAGGAATACTTCAGTCAAATGATAATCAGCTATGAAAAAATGCCCACTTACCAAAAAAGTAAATCTCTTATTGCACATCAAAGACTTAATCCAGAGAAACCTGACATTTGTAAGGAATGTGGGAAGACTTGTAGTCATGGTTCAAAACTTGTTCAACAGGAGAGAACTCATACAGCTGAAAAACACTTTGAATGTAAAGAATGTGGTAAGGACTTTTTTAGTGCCTATCAACTCACTGTGCATCAGAGATTTCATACTGGTGAGAAACCCTACAAATGTAAGGAATGTGGGAAGACTTTTAGTTGGGGATCAAGTCTTGTTAAACATGAGAGAATCCATAGTGGTGAGAAGCCCTATGAATGTAAAGAATGTGGAAAGGCCTTTAGTCGTGGCTATCACCTTACTCAACATCAGAAAATTCATATTGGTGTGAAATCTTATGAATGTAAGGAATGTGGAAAGGCCTTTTTTTGGAGCTCAAGCCTTGCTAAACATGAGATAATTCATTCAGGTGAGAAAACTTATAAATGTGAAGAATGTGGGAAAGCATTCAGTCGTGGCTATCAACTTACGCAGCATCAGAAAATCCATACTGGTAAGAAACCTTATGAATGTAAAGTATGTGGAAAGGCTTTCTGTTGGGGTTATCAACTTACTCGACATCAGATATTTCATACTGGCAAGAAACCCTACGAATGTAAGGAATGTGGGAAGAGCTTTAATTGTGGTTCAAGTCTCGTTCAACATGAGAGAATTCATACAGGTGAGAAACCCTATGAATGTAAAGATTGCGGAAAGGCTTTTAGTCGTGGCTATCACCTTGCTCAACATCAAAAAATTCATACTGGTGAGAAACCTTTTGAATGTAAGGAATGTGGGAAAGCCTTTAGTTGGGGTTCAAGCCTTGTTAAACATGAGAGAGCCCATACTGGTGAGAAATTCTATAAATGTAAAGACTGTGGGAAAGTCTTTGGTAGTGTGTATCAACTTGCTCGACATCAGATACTTCATACTGGAGAGAAACCCTATGAATGTAAGGAATGTGGGAAGACCTTTCATTGTGGTTCAAGTCTTGTTCAACATGAGAAAATTCATACTGATGAGAAACCCTATGCATGTAAAGAATGTGGAAAGGCCTTTAGTCGTGGCTACCACCTTACTCAACATCAGAAAATTCACATTGGTGTGAAATCTTATGAATGTAAGGAATGTGGAAAGGCCTTTTTTTGGAGCTCAAGCCTTGCTAAACATGAGATAATTCATTCAGGTGAGAAAACTTATAAATGTGAAGAATGTGGGAAAGCATTCAGTCGTGGCTATCAACTTACGCAGCATCAGAAAATCCATACTGGTAAGAAACCTTATGAATGTAAAGTATGTGGAAAGGCTTTCTGTTGGGGTTATCAACTTACTCGACATCAGATATTTCATACTGGCAAGAAACCCTACGAATGTAAGGAATGTGGGAAGAGCTTTAATTGTGGTTCAAGTCTCGTTCAACATGAGAGAATTCATACAGGTGAGAAACCCTATGAATGTAAAGATTGCGGAAAGGCTTTTAGTCGTGGCTATCACCTTACTAAACATCAGAAAACTCATACTGGTGAGAAACCTTTTAAATGTAACAAATGTGAGAAGACCTTCAGTTGGAGTTCAAGCCTTGTTAAACATGAGAGAGCCCATATTGGTGAGAAATCCTATGAATGTAAAGAATGTGGACAGGCCTTTGGTAGTGGGTATCAACTTAGTGTTCATCAGACATTTCATACTAGTGAGAAACCTTATAATGTAAGGAATTTAGGAAGATTTACTCATGGCTCAGGCCTTGTTCAACATGATAGAACTTATAGTAATGATAAACCCCATGAATATAAAGAATGGGGAAGTTTATATATGGTCAACTTATTCAATTGAAACAATTGTTACTGGAGAAGAAATGTGAAAACTTTTTTTTTTGTGTATGGACAACTTAAACAGAGAAATCTTATTCTAGAGAAAACTTATGAATGTAAGGAATGTGCAAAAGCCTTACCTGTGTATGGAAAATTTGGTTGATATTAGGAAATTTATACTAGTAAGAAATATTTTAAATATAAGGAATATGAAAAGGCCTTTAGACTTCTGCATAATCTTATTGAACATCAATGTATGTTGATTTGAAACTATTTAAATGAAAGGAATGTATCTTTATTCATGACATAGAGTCTGATAAGCATTGGAGGATTTATACTTATAAGAAGCACTTTAAGGAATGAGGGAAGAACGGAAATTTAATTCAGTTCTTGCTCTGCACATCAGAGAATTAATACTGCTGTGAAATCTTATGAATGTAAGGAATGCACAAAGGTTTATACACTGAGTGGCCAGATTATTATGACCACCCCATCAGTACAATGAAGTGAATTAGTTATGCAAATAATAATAATAATAATAATAAACCTTGAGAGCATTTGCTTAGGAAGTTTTCAATATTCAGTATTTGTGGAAGTGTCAATGAAGTACTGATGGAGTGGTCATAATAATCTGGCCACTCAGTGTAGATGTAATAAGCACCTTAGAATACATCAGAGAACTCATCCACATGAGAAACCCTTAGATTAGAATGCAGGAACACCTTTAGACAAGTGCTACTCAAACTTGTCTAGAGACTAGTACTAGTCCACAAAATTGTTACCTGTGCATCATAAGATAAATGCAGAAAAAGAGAGTAACTGTTTGGAAACATTTATAGCAATTTGATATTGCCATAACATCATTGCATTTTACAAAAGTATCAATTAGCCCATGAATGATTGGAAATTAAAAACAAAAGTTTGCCCTTATCCAGAAATAATTGAGACAACATTCATACTTTTATAAATGTGACACAAGTTACAATATGATTAATTGGAACAAGAAATCCCTCACTTGTCACCTGATTATCAGAATATTCACGCTATAGGAAGAGTTGGCTAATGTGGGAATCACAACTTCCTTATGCCCATAAAAGCATAGAGAATTTACACCAAGTATGTTCATTTAGTAAATGTATAGAAGGCTTCTAACACTACTCAGTCTTTGTTACATTTTATTTTGAATAATAAATATCCATTCTTTCTGTAATTATTTCTGTAATGTAACAAAGATAGGAAGCCCTTTATCCATGGCACAAAGCATACTGATTGTCATCACCATTCTACCTCTTACTCCCTGTGGGTTGTTGGACAAAATGTTTATCCCTTTTGGGGATCATCTTTAAAATGCTGGTGATGGTAACTATTTAATAGTACTTTTGTAAAGACTGGATAGATTTATATGCATCAAATCCTTGGAAGAGTATCTGGTATGTAGCCTATGCTCAATGCGTATTAGCTGTTGTTCTTATCCTCCTCATTAGTGTTACTACTAGTGAATTCTTAGGAGAGGAACGCTCATTGGCATAATGAATTTAGGAAAGCTTTTCATAACCACTTATGAATGTGAGTTTCAGGTAGTTCATTCTGGATAAAATTTAGTAAAACAAAACCTGAGAGGATTTTTATTCAGAATCTATCCCTTAAGCTTCATAAAACATTAAGACTGAAAATAAATGTGGATTTAGCAAGTGTTAAGCTGGGAATATACTTGAAGAACCAGGGAGAGGTGTGAAACAATTTGTCTGAAATGAATTCCAACAGACAGGTAGGCAATAATTATAATTCTTTGTTCACATTTCAAGATAATTTAGAGATTACAAAGGAAAAAAAATGGCCCATTTGAGAATTCTTTCCCAAAATCTTACGACAATTTTCAGACAAGTTTAAAGAATAGTATAATGAATATACTCTTCTCTACCTAGAATCAATAATTGTTAACATTTGGCCATATTTGCCTTTCTCTCTGAATATATGTGTATGTATATTCATGTAGCATTTGACATATATAAGTCATGATAGTTCATTCCTGAGCACGTTAGCATGTACCCTTTTAGATTAAGAACAATCTTATTTTAATACCGTGGTTATACAAGAAAATTATCAATAATTCTGTAATACTAGTATTCTTTTCTATTTCATATTTCCCAGTGCTCCCAATAATTTATCCTATTGCTATTTATTTTCTTTTTTAAAAAATATATATGTTCTTATTGATTTTTAGAGAGAGGGAAAAGGAGAGAGAGATAGAAACATCAATGTGAGAGGAACATCAATTGGTTACCTCCTGCAGCCCCCTACTGGGATGGAGCCCACAACTTGGGCATTACCCTGACCAGGAATTGATCTGGTGACCTTTTGGTGCATGGGTCGACATCTAGTGCACTGAGCCACACCGCTGGGCACTATTTACTTTCTAACCAGCATCTTCTTTATATTCATGCATTGTATTTGGTTGTCATGTTTCTAGATTTCAGTCTTGAACAGACAGGAAAGCTGTTTTATAGAAAGTACATTCTAGATTTGTTTCTTTCCCCATTAGGAAATAGTGCATTAAGAAAAAAATTGAATCGCAAGACTAAAGTCTCACATTGAAAAATGACCAGGATAAAATTTAGGTTAGACCCATAATGGTCAAATATTGACTGCGTAAAAGTTGTTGAATAAATTATAGCTGCTTGTGGAAGGACAATTTGGAGATTTTCTTTCCTTTTTCTTTCTTTTTTTAACCATAACTGACATAGTAAGTACTGAAGATCTGAGTATCACAGCTGATGAGCACAAAGGGACTGAAAGCTGAAAAATAAGCAGCTGGGAATGTACTGATGTTCACCAGTCATGTAAAGTGATAAGACAGAGGAGAGAGAATAAAAGGGAACAAATTAGCTCACCAGAACCAGGACAGTATGATACTGGTCTTTGAGGAGGCACGTTATGACACAATGATGTGGTCAATGGGTGTTTTTATATCCATGATTAGTTCTGGGAACTAAAATCAATTCAATTCCTTTACTGTGGTCTAAGATGAATCTGAAGAGGATTTATGCCTTTTCTCCACACTGCCCAAAGGGATAGCTCTTTTTGTTTTAACTTTAAATATATTTTTTAATTACAGGTGACTTACAATATTGTATTAGCTTTAGGTGTACAACTCAGTAATTAGACATTATATAACTTACTAAGTGGTCACCCTGATAACTTTAGTACATATATGACATGATACATACTTATTACAATAATAGAGGCCCAATGCATGAAAATTTGTGCAAGAGTAGGCCTTCCTTCCCCTGACTGCCAGCACCGGCTTCCCTCTGGCACTTGGGACCCAGGTTTCCCTCCTCTGGCTGCCGGCAGGCACCTGGCACCCGGGCTGGCTTTCCCCGGGCCACCCGCAGGCACCCGGGACCCCAGCTGGCTTCCCCCTGGCCACCTGCAGGCACCTGGCACCTGGGCTGGCTTCCCCCCGGTTGCCCACAGGACCCGGCTGGCTTCCCCCCAGCCCCGGCTTTGTCAGGAAGGACACGTGGTCTAATTAGCATATTACCCTTTTATTATAGATTATTGACTACTAGTCTGTCCTTTTGCCGCCACTGGGTGCATGACATTCATGCACGAGTGTGGTCCCTAGGCCTGGCCCGCGATTGAAATCCTGAGTCCCCACACAGAGATGCAGTGAGTGTGGCTGGACGCCGTGGCTGGGGTGCAGCATGGGCCTCTGAGCTGCCCAGCGGCACCACACGGAAGCTGGACGGGCAGCGCGCACTCTCTCAGTTGGCCTCGCAGACTGGTTCCTGTGTGAACCCATGGGGAGCCCAACCGGCCCCTGCCATCCAGGCAGCTGTGGCCGGGCTCATCGGGAAGAGGCTGATGGGTGCAGGGCGGGCTCCTCACAGGTGCCTGGAACCTGAGTGTGGGGGCTTCCTCAGCATGTGAGCCCTGGTGTCCCAGGGAAGGGTAGCAGGGGGAGTAAAAGCGAGCTCGGTGGACACCCCGCATTCTCATGGCACCTCCGTCCCCATCACTCCCCCCCTCCAGGTAGCCAGGGAGAGGTCACAGCCCCCCACCTGGTGCCACAGGAGATTGGTCGCCTCCACCCACCCCCAGGTCCCCGTCCCAGCCCAGTGCCCCAGCCCCAATCAGGCGATCAGGGCCTGCCGGCTGCCGGTCACCATCTGCAGGGGCCATTGGTCGGGGCTAGGCCCTCCGCCTGGCTCCCTCAGCACCTGAGAGCTGGGCAGCAGCTCCACTCCCTACCTCCACCACTGGTTGCCATCTGCAGGGCGATCAGCGGGGCGATTGGGCCCCCCCTCACATCCACCTTGGCCTGGTGCCGCCCGCTTATCGCCTGCCGGCTGCCGGTCACCATCGGCAGGGGCCATTGGTCGGGGCTGGGCCCTCCGCCAGGCTCCCTCAGCACCTGAGAGCCGGGCAGCAGCTCCACTCCCTACCTCCGCCACTGGTTGCCATCTGCAGGGCGATCAGCGGCACGATTGGGCCCCAACTCGCACCCACCTTGGCCTGGCGCCGCCCGCTTACCTGCTCCACCAACCCACCGCGGTCCTGCTCTTGTCAGGGCCCATTGGGGCCGGCAGGACCTCCACTGCCACCCACTGCCAGCACCATGTCGCCGACGCCCACCATGTTCCGCTCCACCCCCTGGTGGTCAGTGCACATCATAGCGAGCGGTCAAACTCCTGGTCAAACAATTTGCATATTAGTCTTTTATTATATAGGATATTTCCTATGCTGTACACTACATCCCTTGACTATTCTTAGTAGTTCTTAGTCCCTTCACCTTTTCACTTACTCCTCCAACCCCACTCATCTGGCAACCATTAAAATTTTCTCTATGAGTATTTCTGTTTTGTTTGTTAGTTTATTCTGTTTTTTAGATTCTACATATAAGTAAATCATATGGCATTTGTCTTTCTTTGTCTGACTTATTTCAATCAACACATTACCTTCTAGATCCACCATATTGCTGTAGATGGCAAGATTTTATTTTTTTTATGGCTGAGTCATATTTCATTGTATATATGCAATAGTTCTTTATCATTCGTCTATTGATGGACACTTAGATTGCTTCCATATCTTGGCTACTGTAAATAATGCTGCAATGAACATATGGAAGTATATGTCTTTCTGATTTAGTGTTTTGGGTTTCTTTAAGATAAATACCCATGCCCTAGCTGGTTTGGCTCAGTGGATAGAGCATCAGCCTGCAGATTGAAGGGTCCCAGGTTCAGTTCCAGTAAGGGCACATGCCCAGGTTCGGGCTCGATCCGTAGGGGGTGTGCAGGAGGCAGCTGATCAGTGATTCTCTCTCATCATTGATGTTTCTATCTCTCCCTCTCTCTGAAATCAATAAAAATATATTAAAAAATAAATACCCAGAAGTGAAATGGCTGGGTCCTTCTTTGTCTCTTGTTACATAGCCTTTGTTTAAAAGTCTTTTTTGTCTGGTATAAGTATTACTATCTAGCTTTTGGTTTGTTTCCATTTTCATAAAATACTAGAGGCCCAGTGCATGAAATTCATGCACAGGGGGTGGGGGTCCCTCAGCCCAACCTGCACCCTGTCCATTCCGGGACCCCTGCGGGATTGAGCTTAAACCAGCAGTCAGACATCCCTCTTGCAATCCGGGACTGCTGGCTCCTAACTGCCCTCCCCTGCTGGCCTGGTTGCCCCTAACTGCTCTCCTCTGCTGGCCTGGTCGCCCCTAACCACCTCTGCCTCAGCCCCCACCACCGTGGCTTTATCCAGAAAGACATCTGGAAGGGTGTCTGGAAGATGTCTGGTCTAATTAGCATATTACCCTTTTATTAGAATAGATATTTTCTATTCCTTTAATTTCAGTCTGTGTCTTTCGATCTGAAGTGTAGACAGCATGTGTAAGGGTCTCTTGTTACCATTCAACCTCCATATGTCTTTTGATTGAAGCATTTAACCTATTTCCATTTAAAGTAATTGTTGATAGAAGAGTATTTATTGCTATTTCATTAATCATGTGTTTTTTGTCATTGTTCTTAATCCTCACCCAAGGATATTTTTCTGTTGATTTTTAAAGGAAGTGAAAAGGAGAGGGAGAGAGACACATCAGTTAGTTGCATCATGCACACACTCTGACCAGGACCAGGGATTGAGCCTGCAACCAAGGTATGTGCCCTTGACCAGAATTGAACCCAGGACCCTTCAGTTCGAGAGCTCATGCTCTATCCACTGAGCCAAACCAGCTTGGGCTTATTCATGTTTTTTATCTTTTCTTCTTCTTCTTAAAGAAGACTCTTTGCCCTAGCCAGTTTGGTTCAGTGGCTAGAGCGTCAGCCTGAAGACCGAAGGGCCCTAGGTTTGATTCCGGTCAAGGGCACATACCTTGGTTGCAGGCTCCTCCCTGGCCCGGGCCCTGGTCAGGGCACATGCAGGAGGCAGCCAGTTTATGTGTTTCTCTCCCATCAATATTTCTCTCTGTCTTTCCCTCTCTCTTCCACTCTCTCTAAAATCAATGGAAAAAATATTCTTGGGTGAGGATTTAAAAAAAAAAAAGTCCCTTTAACATTTCTTGTATTACTGGTTTGGTGGTGATGAACACCTTTAGCTTTTTATTTTCTGGGAAGCTCTCTATCTGTCCTTCAACTCTGAATGATAGCTTTGCTGGGTAGAATAATCTAGGTTATAAGTCCTTGCTTTTCATCACTTTGAATATTTCTTGCCAATCCCTTCCGGCTTGCAAAGTGTCTGTTGAGAAATCAACTGACAGTGTTACAGGAGCTCCCTTGTAAATAACTAACTGCTTTTATATTGCTGCTTTTAAGATTCTCTTTTGTAAATCCACACCTGAGAATATTTTTTCACTATTTTTTTTTAGAGAGAGTGGAAAGGAGGGGGAGAGACACACAAAGAGAAACATCAATGTCTCATATCAATTGCTTGCCTCCTGTACACAACCTGACCAGGACCAGGGATCGAGCCTGCAACCCGGGTATGTGCCCTTGACTAGAATCGAACTGGGACTCTTCAGTCCGCAGGACAATGCTCTATCCATTGAGCCAAACCAGCTAGGGCAACAATAAAGATTTTTTAAAATAAAAGAATTTGTGGCGGCCTTGGCCCGTGTTTTTCAGTGGTGATAGCATTGGCCTGTGAAAGGAAAGGTCATGGGTTCGATTCCAGGTCAGAGGTTGTGGACTCCATCTCCAGTGGGGGAGTGCAGGAGGCAGCCAATCAATGATTCTCTCTCATCATTGATGTTTCTCTCTCTCTCTCCTTCTCCCTTCCTCTCTGGAATCAAAAATACATTAAAGAAAGAAAAAGCAGGCAAGCTCGGGGTACAGACAAATGAGCACTAGCTGCCTAGATAGAAACCAGGAGCCTCTGGCTGGACAGGCTCAGCAGGGCCCACCTGACATCTTCACACCCCCTGAGGGCTGCGAGAGAGTTAGAAACATCAATGAGAGAGAAACATCGATCAGCTGCCTCCTGCACACCCCCTACGGGGGATGTGCCCGCAACCCAAGGTACATTCCCTTGACTGGAATCGAACCTGGGACCCTTCAGTCCGTAGGCCAACGCTCTATCCACTGAGCCATACCGGTTAGGGCAATTTAATACTTTTTAAGAAAAAATTTCAGCTGGTGGGAAGCTCGGCCCTAAAGATTCTGGGATGTGTAGTCCAGATGCCTCCTGTGATGGGAGCACTTCCGCTCTTGGAAAGAGCAGACTTGTTCCTTAGGGAGGTTTAATCAAGTGTTATGCATGTATGGAGGCATTTGGGTTACCCGAGGGCGAGGTAATGAACCCAGCTTCTTTCCGGGAATTTGAATCAGGCCGCCTTGGCGCCCCCGGGGGCGGGGCAGCAGCTCCAGTTCCCCCAGTGATGCTGGGAAATGTAGTCCGTGCGCTCCGCGAAGTCGGAGGCACTTCCGCTGCAGAAGGCCGAGCTCGCGGCCTCGGTTTCTCCCGGAGGTGAGTGAGCCCGGGATCCCGCAGCCTCTTTCAGCTTTTCTGACTTAATCACAGGATCAGCCGCCGGCCCTCGGTCACAGGGAGGAAAAGCTGCGGTCAGAGGCCGAGAGCGGGTTTGAGGGGCGGGGCTGCCGCTTGCCTTCCCCTGGGCCGGGCCCCTGCTTTGGGGGCGTTTCTCGAGTTCCCGCGTTAGGGGAGGACCGGGATCCCACAGGGGTGAGTGTCTCCCTGGCTACCCCACCTTTCCCCACCCCTTCCACACTCTCAAACATTGGATGAGAACTTTAATCGCTCGGGGCCTCAGTTTCCCTTCGATATAGTACGAGTCTTATAAATTTGTTTTGAGAATTAATGGCATAGTGCAAGTGAAATGTTTTGAACAGCTCAGGCGTCTGTCTGGCAAGGTGTTGCTGTTAATATTAATATTGCAATGATCAGAAAAATAGAGCCCGCAACCCGGGCAAGAACCTGTGACCTCCTGATTCATAGGTTGTCGCTCAACCACATAGCCACGCTGGCTGGTCTATTAATCGCATATTGAAATGGAGAATTGGGCACAGACAATTGAATGAATGACCTGGAGGCACAGTCAGCAGGGGAAAGAGCCAAGATCAAACCTCAGCAGCTGGGCTTGAAACGTAGCTCTAGGGCTCTGTGCACAGTAACTGGGCAAGTTACTAACTTCTCTGTCTCTCCATTTTCTTACCTGTCAAGTAAGGGCAATATCAAAGCCTGCCTCCTGAAGTTCTTGTGAAGATTAAGTGAGAGCTAATATGTAAAGTGTTTGAAATAGTGCCTGGCACGTAGTGAATCCTCCGTGTATTACAGACTAGCTGTTGTCCTTTGTCTATCACAGATGAGTATACAACATGAAAGATGTAGCAAATCAATGAAAAGGCAAAAAGATGTTTGAAGGTATTCTTTTCTCCCCCACCTTCTGCTCTGATACTTCAATTCGGTCATACAGTGGGACAAAAATCAAAAGCTTCTGTAATAACCATTGTTTAAACCTAAAACTAATTTGCTGTCTTTTGAACTTAGGGAGTCCCTGGGTGATGATTATGCGATCTCTGCAGCCTTTAAAAGGTGTTCGTCTGCACTATCCAATCTAGTAGCCATTAGCCACCTGTGACTATTGAGCACTGGAACTGTGGCTAGTGCTAATTAAGGCACACAATGGATTTCAAAGACCTAGTATGAAAACAGAATGTAAACTATCTCAATTTTTATATTGATTATAAGTTGAAATGGTAATACTTTAGATATATTGGGTTAAATAAAATGTATTGTTAAAATTAAGCTGACTTCTTTTTATTGAATTTGTTGGTTAATAAAATTATATAGGTTTCAGGTGTACAATTCTATAGTACATCATCTGTATATTGTACTGTGTGCTCACCACCCTAAGTCAATGTGTCTACTAGAAACATTTAGTTATATATTTAAGTATATTTTTTATTAATTTCAGAGAGGAAGGGAGAAGGAGAGAGAGATAGAAACATCAATGATGAGAATCATTGATCGGCTGCCTCCTGCATGCCCCGTACTGGGCATCGAGCCTGAAACCTTGACCAGAATCAAACCCAGCACCCTTCGGTCTACAGGCTGACACACTATCCGCTGAGCCAAAGAAGCTAGGGCCTGTAAATGACAGCTCCTGTAATTTTTATTGGGAGTATTTTGTGAATGGCCCAGGTTGCCTTGTGGGTAAAATTAGGGGGTTAGAGTTGACTTTGGCACTCCCTCTGATCCTAACAAACCTTGATTCTAATCCTGCTTGTTAGGATCAGAGGGAAAGAGAAGCTTGTAATGTGTGTTTCCCTTCGTTAATTTGTCTTTGGGCAATAGGGCAGGCTGTTGGGGTCAGAAGAAAAGTTGGAGGTGAAGAGGTCAAAGTCTCTCTGCGAGTATCTAGAGCAGTGATGGCGAACCTATGACACGCGTGTCAGAGGTGACACGCGAACTCTTTTTTTGGTTGATTTTTCTTTGTTAAATGGCATTTAAATATATAAAATAAATATCAAAAATGTAAGTCTTTGTTTTGCTATGGTTACAAATATCAAAAAATTTCTATATGTGACATGGCACCAGAGTTAAGTTAGGGTTTTTCAAAATGCTGACACGCCGAGCTCAAAAGGTTCGCCATCACTGATAGAGGGCTGGTTTTGATTGATTTCACTCCAAGTGTGATCCAGACATCAGCAGCATCAACATCACCTGGGCTAGTTTTAGAACTGTAGATTCTGAGTCCCCATCCTTGACCTTCAGGTTTAGAATTGTTGGGGGTGAGACTGTGGGCAGCTGTATCTTCATGGGGCTCCAGGCACATGGGCCATTACAGTTTGAGAAGCATTGGTAGAAAGGACAGACTTTTCACTTTTCACAAAAATATTGGCTGTTTCCCTCTGGCCAAATTACACCTCCTTCAGATGTCAGATATCAGAATGGCTCTTTCCCCCCAGGTTGAGGTCTCTGCTGAAATGGAAGAGAAGCGTTCCATGACAAAAACTTATTCCGTAACAGCCCCTCCTTACCCCTCCCACCTGGCCTTATTGTTCTTCAAAGCATCTCTCCCTGCATTATTGGATTTTTATTATCCTGGTACCCCATTATAATATCAGCTCCAGGAGATCAAGGTCTCTGCCTGCTTTGAATTTTTGAAGGAAGTGATCCTTTATTTTTAGATATTATTTATTTCAAACATTTACAATTTTTACTTTAAATGCAAAATAACTGATAAAAAGAAAAAAAAACATTGAAAAACGTATCATACTAATAACCCTTTGCTGCATAACAGACACCAGCCTTTGGTATTTGCTTCAGGTAATTAGGTAAGAAACAAAAACAAACATCTTTTTTTTTTAATTTTTAAAAAAATATATTTTATTGATTTTTTACAGAGAAGAAGGGAGAGGGATAGAGAGTTAGAAACATTGAGAGAAATTTTTTGCCTCCTGCACACCCCCCACGGGGGATGTGCCCGCAACCAAGGTACATGCCCTTGACCGGAATCGAACCTGGGACCCTTCAGTCCGCAGGCCGACGCTCTAGCCACTGAGCCAAACCGGTTCGGCAAACAAACATCTTAAGACTGTTATTTCTCTCCAGAAGAAACAAAGTTGAGGTATTCTATTTAACAGATGTGTGATTTCCAGCCAAACATGGTTCCTCCATGAATGAACAGCCTTGCCCTATGCTGTTCCAGTCCTTTCCTTCTAAAGCAGATCTTCGTTGGAGCCTATGTTCATAAAACTGGCGATGTTCGTAAATACGGAACGTTACACGAATTTGAGTGTCATCCTTGGGCAGGGGCCATGCTGATCCTCCCTGTATTATTTTGATTTTAGTTTATGTGCTGCCGAAGTGAGCACGGGAGGGATTCTTGATGTGCGGGCTCCTAACCGTCTCCCTGGCCCCAGCCTCTTCCCCCTCAGACCTCCTCCTGTCTGCTGATCTGTTTCCAACAGGAAAGGAATCTTACTCCCCTTCTTCAGGGCCCTTGCTGCTTTCCTGCTGATCTATGGCTATCGCTGGGACGTTCACATCACCCTGGTTTGAACCCTGCATTCCTGCCATCTTTTTCTGCCTCCTGTTTGTCCTCACATTGTCGCATTTGTTCTCTTGCAGTTTTCTGGGGCTCTATTTCTTTTTGGCTAATAGAGCTCCGTCATCCCCAGGGCTCAGATCAAGCCACCTGTACGTAGAACCCCCTCCAGTCAAGTGTGGGCCTCAAGGCCCGGACCCTGTGCTTCCGGAGGACCCTGGTCACTACTCTGCTACTTGCCACGTGTAGCAGAAGTGCTGGTTTCCTCACCACTAGGCTGTGAGCAAGTGGAGACCGGGTACCTATATCCTCTTAATAAGGTTTCCACAAGTGTTCGTTGAGTTAACAAACATATTTATTTAATGAAGAATTATGCAGGCAATGAAATACTTGTTCTCGGTATTTTGATGGACACATTCTGTGGATTCCATGTAGGCACTGACTCTGAAGAACAGAAAGCACCTTCCTAAAATGGCATTTTAAAAAATCCAGAGGCTCTTTTCCTTCCAAAGATGACCTCGATCTGGCCCGAGGACAACAAATACTGTGAAAGACCTAGAGCGGCGGTCGCCAACCGGTGGTCCGTGAGGTCCGAAAGGTTGGCGACCGCTGACCTAGAGGATAACCTTTGAAAAAGAACCCCTGCTCTCCAGATCCTCCCAGCTGGGATCAGCCTCAGATTCTATAGCTCAGTCCTTGGACCATTTAACCTAGTCTCTCCATGTGCTCTGCCCGATGACAGGCACTGACACTGGTCAGAGCGTCTGCCGAGCAGTTACTGTCACAGGTGCTGTTTCAGGTGCTTGGGACGTGACGGCCAAGTCAGCAATCACAAGGGAGAGGGTTGACCTACTAATTACTACCCCCCCGCCCCCCAAGAAGTAATGGGAAGGTCTCCCTGCAAAGCACTCTTGCTGAGCAGAAGTCACCAGGCAAATAGAGGCCAGAGCAAAGGGGGTTACAAAGTCCAAGGGCATTTCTTCCGAGATGGGCAAGGTTTATGTTCCCCTTACCATACCAGGGTTCTTCTGTCTGAAATCAGATGGCTAGTAATGATTAACTAATAAATACTTAAACAGTGATTAACTAATGATGATATCTTGACCTGGGCATTTTACCCTCAATCTCCACCCCCACGCTCCTCGAATCAGATTCTTCCTGAGAGCTACAGGAGAACTTGTATTAGGGCCCCGGGTGTGGTTGGGCGTGTTAACGTAAAAAAACCATTGAAACCTGTAAAGAATTTTTGTGAGTTTATTTGAGCCAAACTGTCGACATATGCCGGGAAGCAGAACCTCAACGAATTGAGATAGTGCTCCGGAGAATGGCGGGGTTACATTCGTATTTATACATTTCAATCAAAGGAGGAACATAGGTGGGTTACATGAAATTCATTGGTGACAGATTAAGGAGGAGGGATAAGCAAAGCAGGGAAACCCCTGGGATTGGATAAAAAGTAAAATGATGGACACATACTTAGGTGGGTACAGGAACAATTAACATGATGATGAAGGAATTTGCGGTATCTGTCCTGGGCCCAGCACACCTGGTTGTGCCCCAGGGGCTTCAGATACAGGGAAGTCACAAGTTACCCAGACATTTCAAGGGTATGTTATCATAGATGCAAAAAGACAGATAGGCTCAGTTACGGTAAAGGTTGACCTTATCAGTGAAGTTACTGGCCTAGGCCGTAACTGCCCACCATAACTGCTTTTAGTTAAGGTTTAATTTCAGACCATCCTTTGTGGTTACTTTAGGTCTCCAAGTTTGCAAGATTGCCATGCAGGCCTCCTCTGAGCTTGTCAGGTCAGCATGTGGCCCCTTTCGTCCACAGGCGGGACACTCACTGTGCAGGGCTCTGGGAGGAAGGGCTGAGTGGTGTCTGCTCATCGGTCTGTGTGTGCGGCTGCAGCCACCCGGGGAAGGGGTTCCCTGACTCCTTCCTGTGAAGCAGCCATGTGGGTAACTTCCATTGACTGTTTAAGCTGCGGGACACAGTTCCAAATGTCTTATGTGTAGTCGCTCAGACTGACTAACCTTCCTGTGCGGTTTTGCAGGGCGGTGGTTATCATTGTCATTACCCCCGATACTCATTGAGGTGACATTGGTTAATAAAATCATGTAGGTCTCGGGTGTACAATTCTACAGCACATCATCTGTGTAGTGGACTGTGTGTTCACCACCCTAAGTCAGTGTGTTTACTAAACATTTAAATGACACAGGTAGTTGTGTTTTATTTCCGTTGGGACAGCCCTGGTCTAAGTGGGAGCCTCCCTTTCCACTCTGAGGATTTGCCTCCAGGGGCACGAATAAGTCACTGTTGCCTATTGAAGCACATTATACTAACACCGAGTTCTAGCAAGTTGGAGATGTCAGTATTCACACACCAGTGGTCTGACTCCAGAGCCTACACCCTTCACAACTCTGTTCTCTTCTCCCTCAAGCAGCTTCTTTGGCTTCAGGTCCTCTCCCGTTTCTCTCAGACCTTTATCCCAAGCTCTCAAGCCCTCACGTCTCTTCCCGTGAGCCCTTAAACTCCCATCTGCTTATTTTTATCTTCAGGAGCAACCAAGAGGCAAGATCTAGAAAACTGGCTCTGATGTGAGATCTGGATTCAGGGCCCACCGGCCTCTTGACCTCACTGCGCCTCAGCTTCCTTATCTATGAAATGAGAACAGCAGTCATCGTCGTCACTGACTGAGAACTTCCTACAGTGCCAGGTGCTGTGCCAGGGGCATTGCATGGATTAGCTCAT